CAAGGATTCCCAGTTTTTCTGGCTTTGTCCCTGTTATTTGAATTCCCTGGTGGAAAAGGGGAAGGTTTTTCTCTGTGAATTCCCAGGAGAAAGCGCTTCCCAAATCCCTTTTAATTTCCCATCATGTGGTAAACCCCGCCCCCTCATTTGCATATGATTATCTTAATTAAAGAGCCTCAAAATAACTTTAAAATCAGCCAAAACCACAGAAAATTAGGAATTTCGATATTCTAGACTGGAGGGGGCAGCTCCATCCCATCAAGTGAATAAATCCCAGGTTTAAATGTAATTATGAAATTCAAATAATTCTAATTATTAATTAAATGAATAAAAATATAAAAATATAAAATATAAATATATATAAAATATATAAAACTTATAAATAAATATATAAAATAGATAAAATAAATATAAAAATAAATATTAAATATATAAATTGAAATTTAATTTCTGTAAAATTAGAAATAATTGTAAAAAAAAAAAAACAAACAAGCCCAACCAACCCTGGCATTTTCCAGGTTTTTCAAGGGAAAAAAAACCAGGTTCCACACCGAGAAAATTCCCCCAAATCCACCCCCAAATCCCACATTTTCCCAGATCCTTCCGCTCCTCCCTCTGTTCTTTGCAGGATTAAAGTGGAATTTTCCCTCTCCGGGGTGGGGGGGAAAAAAAACCCCGGAATTGGAATCATTCCCCCCAAACCATTTTCCGAAGTCCTGGATGCTCCAGGATTTGCTGCCACTGGAAAAGCAATATTTGGACCCACCCCCCCCCCCTTCCTTTCCCAGAGCTTTTTTTCCTACCCCAAATTCCCGATATTTTTCCTCACCTTCCCCTCCCGGGAATGGGGAGCGTCTCCCTCCACATTCCGGAGCCTTTTCCAGCTTTAAACTGGGATAGGGATGAGGGATTGAAGCCCATCCCCCACCCCTCCCCCCCCTCCCAGCCCGGTGCCAACGGCACAGCCGGCGCTTCCCGCTGGGAATTCCGGCCTTGGAAAAAAACTCCCTGTCCCTGGAAGGGTTCCCGGAGCTGCTCCGGCAGCTCCCAAGACCTCCCGGAAAAATGCACAGAAAGAGGGAACAGCAGAGCCTGCCCTGAGCTTGGAAAAGCTTTTCCAGCTTGGAAAAGTCTCCTTGGGATGGAAATCCGAGCTCTGGGATTCAAACCCACCTGGAAAAATCGGTTTGATGCGGATTTAGGGCTTAATTATGAGAGGGAAACACCGGGATGAAATCCCAAATCCTGCCCAGGTCGAGCTTTGGCTGTGATTGCTGCTCCCTAAAATTCCCAGGGAGCTCCAAAAGTTGAAATTCCTGCCCGTTCCTTACAGGATTTATGGGATTTGGGGTTCTCCCAACCCTTTCTGGGTTTTATTCTGCAATTCCCAACCTTTCCATGCCTTGGGAATCCTGTTTTTCTTGGAATTCAATCCTTGGATCCGCTCAAATTTTCCAATTCCCATGGAAAACACGGGGAATGAGGGGAAATCTGGGCAATAAATCAGATTTTTTTGGGGGGAAACACCTCAAATATTGGGATATTGGAGTGTTGGGAGCAAATTTTCCAACCCCTCCGTGGGGCCAAACGGGATTTTGGGGATAACTCCGGGTTGGGAATGGTTGGGATGGGATGGGAAAACTCTCCAAGAATCCCCCCCCACGGTGATGGAAAATTCCTGAGTGGGATCCCGGGGTCATCTCCAGGTTTTTCTGGTGGGAAAGGAGCCCCTCAAACCACGACCAACCCCCCTGGAAATTATGGAATGGAGGATGGAAGTGGGAAAGGGCGGGAAGGAGGCTGGGAAAAAGCAGGAATTCCACGCTGGGAAGGGGAATTTTGGGATACCTGTAGTGCAGGAGCTGCCCCTCGGAGCTGTAATCCCGGAACATCTCATAGTCCTTCTCGAACACTCCCGAACTGCAACACAAAAAAACCGGGAAGAGCGGGAATTTACCGGCCGGGATAACCGTCCCCAGTTGGAGGAATCCGTTCATCAATAGGATTTGTGCTCAGAAAGCTGATTTGTCGCTGATAAAGGGATCTTTCCATGAGTAAAGTGATTTTTCAGTAATAAAAGTGATTTTTTCCATGAATAAAGTCGATTTTTCACTAATGAAAGTGATTTTCCATTAATAAAATTGATTTTCCATTAATAAAATGGATTTTCCATTATTAAAATGGATTTTCCATTAATAAACGTGATTTTCCATTAATAAAAGTAATTTTCCAACAATAAGTGATTTTTCCATGAATAAAAGTTGATTTTCCACTAATAAAGTTGATTTTCACTAAAAAAGCTGATTTGCCACTAATAAAGTTGATTTTTTCCAGGAATAAAGGTGATTTTTCATAAATAAAAGTGACTTTTCCATGAATAAAGTTGATTTTTCAATAATAAAAGTGATTTTCCATTAATAAAATTGATTTTCCATTATTAAAATGGATTTTCCATTAATAAAAGTGATTTTTCCATTAATAAAAGTGATTTACCACTAATAAACTTGATTTTTCACTAATAAAAGCGATTTTTCCATTACTGATGTTGATTTTCCACTAACAAAGATGATTTTCCACAAATAAAAGGCATTTTTCATTAATCAGAGGGATTTTTCCATTAATAAACAGGATTTGTCCATTAATAAATGTAATTTTCTACTACTAAGTGATTTTTCCATGAATAAAAGTGATTTGCCCATTAATAAAAGTGATTTTCCATTAATAAAAAGGATTTGTTCCATTAATAAAGTTGATTTTCACTAATAAAGCTGATTTGCCATTAATAAAGTTGATTTTCCACTCATAAAGTTGTTTTTTTTCTAATAAACTGATTTTTCCAGGAATAAAATTGACTTTCCACTAACAAAGATGATTTTCCATTAATAAAAGGGATTTTCCATTAATAAAAAGGATTTTTCCATTAATAAAGTTGATTTTCACTAATAAAGCTGATTTGCCACTAATAAAGTTCATTTTTTCCAGGAATAAAGGTGACTTTTCACTAACAAAGACAATTTTCCATTAATAAAAGTGATTTTCCAATAGCAAAGTTGATTTTTTCCATTAATAAAAGTGATTTTCCATTATTAAAATGGATTTTCCATTAATAAAAGTGATTTTTCTATTAATAAAAGTGATTTGCCACTAATAAAGTTGATTTTTCACTCATAAAGTTGATTTTCCACTAACAAAGGAATTATCCAATAAGAAAGTTGATTTTCCACTCATAAAGTTGTTTTTTTTCTAATAAAACTGATTTTTCCATGAACAAAGTTGACTTTCCACTCACAAAGATGATTTTCCATAAATAAAAGGGATTTTCCATTAATAAAGTTGATTTTTCAACAATAAAAGTGATTTTTGCATTACTAAAGTTGATTTTCCACTAACAAAGACTATTTTCCACAAATAGAAGGGATTTCCCAATAACAAAGTTGATTTTTTCCATTAATAAATGTGATTTGTCCATTAACAAAAGTAATTTTCCAATAAGTGATTTTTCCATGAATTAAAGTGATTTGCCCATTAATAAAAGCGATTTTTCCATTAGTAAAGTTGATTTTTCACGAACAAAGATGATTTTCCATAAATAAACGTAATTTTCCATTAATAGAAAGGATTTTTTTCCATTAATAAAGTTGATTTTCACTAATAAAGCTGATTTGCCACTAATAAAGTTGATTTTCCATGACTAAAGTTGATTTTTCCCTAATAAAAGTGATTTTTCCATGAATAAAGTTGATCTTCCACTAACAAAGACGATTTTTCATAAATAAAAGTGATTTTTCATAAACAAGTGATTTTCCATTAATACAGTTGATTTTTCCCTAATAAAGGTGATTTTCCCTTAATAAAGGTGATTTTCCACTAACAAAGCTGATTTTTTTCCATTAATAAACGTGATTTTCGGTTAATAAAGGTGATTTTCTATTAATAAGTGATTTTTCCATTAATAAAAGTGATTTGCCACTAATAAAGTTGATTTTTCATTCATAAAATTGATTTTCCACTAACAAAGATGATTTTCCAGAAATAAAGGAATTTTCTACTATTAAAGTTGATTTTCCACGAATAAAATTGATTTTTCACAAATGAAAGTGATTTTTCCATTAATAAAGTTGATCTTCCACTAACAAAGATGATTTTCCATAAATAAAAAGGATTTTCCATTAATAAAGTAGATTTTCCATGAATAAAGTTCATTTTTCACTAATAAAAGTGACTTTTTCACTAATACAGTTGATTTTTCACCAATAAAAGTGATTTTTCCATTAATAAACTTGATTTTCCACGAACAAAGATGACTTAAACAAAATAAATAAATAAAAATAAATTTAAAAAAATAAATAAAGGATTTTCCATGAATAAAAGCCATTTGCCACTAATAAAGTTGATTTTTCCCCAATCAAAGCCATTTTTCCCTCAACAATCCTGATTTTCCCACCCCAAAGCCCCCCTTCCCATCCTGAATTTTCCCCCAAACCGCCCATTCCATAAACCTTTGGATAAAAATCCCCACCCAACCCCCTAAAACCCCTCATAAAATCCTGGAACTTTCATTCCCTCTGCAATTCCCGCTTATTTTGGAAGGCTGGGAAAAGCAGAAAACCTGGAACAGATCCCAAATCCAGCTCCTAATCCTGCTTTAATCCCTGCCTGGCACGCTTGGAATTCCCACCCAAACTTCCACCCCCGGGGGGGGGGTTTCCCTTGGAATTCCAGGACCGGACGGTGATGTCAGAGATCGGATCCATCAGGAAATTATCCCAATAATCCCCCCCCAAAAAGGAAAGGAAAAAGGAACCAAACCCCCCCCCCCCCAATTTCCCTTCCCAGCCCATCCCCAGAATGAGCGTTTTTCCCGGGAATATTTGAGGGAATGGAGTTAAATCCGGGATTTTGGGGGGCTGGGAATGGGTTTTCCACTGGGAGTCGTTCCCAAATATCCATCTGGGAGTTTCAGGGATTAAGGAATGTTAATTAATGGAGGGGTTGCTCGTTGATGGTTGGGAAGGCTTTTCCAACCTCAGCCATTCCACAGGGATCCAAACTGGGCCATTCCAACATTTTCCCGGGATGGAAAACTCCTCCGGCACCGGAACCGGGAAAAATGGGAGCCCCAGGAAATCCAAAATCCAGGGAAATTTGGGATCCTGCCAAAGGGATCCCTCGGGCTGGGAAGATCCCGAGGTTTTCCCAGAGCGACTCCGGCTCCTTCCTTGGCTCCGGAGGCCCTTTGGATGAGCAGAGAATTCCCGAGGGGCCCTGGGAAATTCCGGAGCAGTAGATGCTCCGGATATTTGGGTCACTCCCACCTGCTCTCCCAACCTGGAGCTTCCTGAAAAAAAGGGGAAAACCGCAAGGAAAAAAAATCTCCTGGAGGGATTTGAGGTGTCTTTGATCCCAGAAATCCGTTTTTTCTTTTTTTTTTTTTTTTTTTTTGGGATCTCCTGGAAGTCAGGAAATGGTCGGGGGAGGAGAGTTTGGGCTTTAAAATCCATGGATTCACCCAGTTCATCCCAAGAAAAGATGGAAGTGCCAGATTTTCTCTCCTCCCACATTCCGGTGCCTCCGGAATTGGGCACGTCCCAAAAAACCCCCCATAAATCCCAGAGTTTTCTTTCCCTCTGGATCTCTGGGGAGGGAAGAACTCGGGAACAACTTCCCAGCAGTTGGGATGGGAATCTTCCCAAGATTCCCGTGTTTTCATCCGAGGAAAAGCTCTCCCGGTGATCCCGGAAGATTCCATCGGCTTTTCCTTCCAACTCCCACTTCCCATTCCTCGAGTTTTTCCAGGAGCTCCAGGGAGAAGCTCCAAGACCTTCTCCAAGGATTTCAAGGCACGGGAAGTCTCTGCCAGGGAGACCTCCCAGCAGCTGGAAAATCCCTTCCTGGATCTTTGGGAATCTCCAGGATCATCCAGTTCCGACCCTCGGGACACCTCCCGCTATCCCAGGACGCTCCTTGGACACTTCCCAGGGATGTGGGAAAGGAGGGAATGGGATTCCAGAGGCCTCAAGGTGCTCCCAGTGGAGAGGGAAATCCAGGGAAAAAGC